GGTATGGTAGTGGTAGGCAGGCAGCTAGGGGCGGAGTGTGTTGGACTGAAAATGAAGGTTCAGAGGGATGCTGGAACTTACTTCCAGCAGATTTAATTTACCACCTCTTTGCGGTGATAATGTTGTCAGGCAAGCGTCGCCATATTTGTATGCTGGTGCTTACAATCAATCACGGCCAGGATTACATATGTTGGGAGCAAATCGTGGAGCCTCGGATCCTATCGTACCCTCCTCCAATCAATCATGCTCCCACCATCAGCTAGTTAGTGCAAGACTGCAAGTGCGTTCACAACATAAATCCATCATAGTCCAGTGAGGACTGCAAGTGCGTTCACAACTCCGATCCCACGACGCAACAAGGTGTCAACAATCTCTCCCAGCAGAGTCCAGTGGTACGACGCTGTATTCTATCCGCGGTGTGGTGGCCAACTCCGTTTTTTTGTTCTTTCTTTCTGTTTTTTCGCATCGCATCTACCCATTTCTTTCCCTTTCACGCCACACCGACTCCTGCGTCCTGGGGCTAGCCACTACCATCAATCCATCATGCAGCAACTCGATATGGTTACTGGAATTGTTAATGGCGAAGGATTAGAGTCCAAGAGATCAGCCGATCAGGTGACATGAGGACATCGTCCACTAATGACACGCGGAACGGCGACCAGGGATCATCGATCACTGTCCAAGTCCACTCCACTAGCCGCATGTGCCCTTTGGAAGCAGGAGTGGAGATAGAGCGGTCTTTGCCCCTTTGGTGTGCGTCAACATCCGGTTCTACATGCCCATCTTCCGCGCCGTATATGCCCACTCGAACGGCCGCAGTGGCGAGCTTTTGGTTTTGGGTCCTTCACTTCACGAATTGCCGTCCTGTTCGCAACACTTTTGTTTTTATCAATAACAATAACCACTTGCTTTGCAAAGAAAAAAGAGGGAGATCGCAGCTAAGTTTCTTGGAGTACTTTGTAACAGAGCCAAATTAAAAAGAAAATGGTTAGGATCGCATCTCTGTTAACTTTTCTAGGACTCTGATTCCTGCGTATCGGAGGGCGACGCACCATCGATTGCGGTGCGTGTTGGTCGAAATGGACAAAGGCCATGTTGGCTTGAATTATCCGCCGTACTGTTTTAATGAAATAATAATATTTTTCTTTTATAATAAATCAATATTAGCATCAGCTGTTTTTTCAGCTAATCGAAAAAAAATTTAAGGTAGCTAATAAAATGTCTGTACTAGGGATATTTTAATTGACCACTTTCTCCTCTCCAACTCCAATCCAAAAGATAGAATAGAAGGAAGAAAGGCATGCACGCATGGCGCCAAAAAGCAAGAATTAATGTCAGAAATTGCTGGGCCCTTTTCCTTCAAAACAAAATGGAAATTTGTTGCTGCTGCGTTGAGTTGGGAGGAGTTGGATGGCCTTTCGCTGCATTCGCTGAATTAACAACAAACGCACGCACCGGCACTCAGTCACTAACCATGAGATTGTTGCCGACAGAACACGTAACAAATCGTGAACTAGCTACGTAGTGACCGAATTTTTTATTTTTTAGCTTTTTTTTAAAAAAAATCACAAATATGTCATCAGAGAAAAGATTTTAAAATCTAAACCCTTTCGGCTTTCATGCCACACCGCGCCGGTTCCTGCGTCGGCACCATTGGGCTAGCCAGCATTTGAGCTCAATCCATGATTTAAGCAACGTCGAAGATCTTAGTTAGCTGGAATTGTTAATTGTTAATGCGGACTGGCGCCGATGACTCAGAGATCCACAAGCCGATCAGCGATACATACGTGTCGGTGGCATGAGCAGCTAGTACCTAGCAACATGCGTGGCCTTCCACTAATGACACGCGGAACGGCGATCGACCAGTAAATCATCTCACATCACTAAATAATCCATACGTCCCTCTCCACAGGCCGCTACTAGATCGAGCTAGACCGCATGCGCCTGCGCTCTGTGCGTGCTAGCTAGCTCGTTCGTAGCTAGCTAGCTAGACCAGGGGTGCTAGCTTGTTACAGTGAACGCGACCGCCTTTAGAGCATGGATAATAATTTCGCCAGCAGCCGGCGGTAAGACTAAGCCACGTCACTTAAGCCGGTAACACATATAGTGAACATGTTAGCTATATAGTAATATTTTAATATTTGATGCTTGAATGTGTATATTATCAATTGGGATTCATTGTAAACTTGCCGCAGGATGGCTTGAGCTTTTGGTTTTGGGTGTTCACAGGATCATGAGGTGCTGGCAGGATGACCGTCGCAACACGGGCTTTTGGCCTCGTTTTTTATCAGCCGGCGAAGAATAACCGCCCAGCCTCTCTCTCTGCTCTCTGCAAAGACAAGAATGACTAGGATATCTTCTCAGCGAGCTGACTAGGCACTATAATACTTGCTCTAACAGCTAGCTTGTTACAGTGAACGCGACCGCCCGGGGTGCTGCGTCGATCGACTGTGCATGCATGCGCGTCCACGTGAGGCTCACGCGGGGTCCAGGTTGGCCCTGTAGTCCCGGTGGAGCGGAACACGACAGCGACACGTCGACGGTACATGGAAAACGGACGCTTGCCGGCTGATTCTCGATGGGCGGGATCACCAAATTACTAGCCTTGTTCGTCGTCGCACCAAAAGAAATCACTCAAAACAAGTCGGTACAAGTAGCTAGTGACTAGCGACAAGTACAACTTCAACACAAATTAAAACGGATCGGACCTCTACTAAAATAAAATAAGAATCCATAAAAAACTGAAGCGTCGACTAGAGCTTGTAAATCGTACTGGAAAAAAAAAGCAAATAAAGCGACACATACATGCACTACGATAACACAAGACTTTAAAGACCACAAAAACATGGGGCTGTGTTCAGCTAATGATTTTTCTACGGTCGATAAGTCTCAACGATCTTTGTTTTGTTGTGAAAAAAAAATAGATGGCCGATAGTGGGTGATAAGTTTAAATGAGGCTAGTATCCTCTAAAAGGACAGCCTAGTACCCGTTAAAAGAACGTGTAAAAAATAGCTCAAGAAATTCAAATTTACAATATTTCACCATAGAAAAAATGCGGGGGAAATCAGATCGTGCCGCAGAACAAATCAAAATAAGATGTTGAAATCGTGGAATCGAAGACCAACCTACTGCTTTCACTGATAACACATGAACATTCTAACACTCTGTATTTCCGTTATGATAAATGGGGAATCCCCTCGGTTCGAAGAAAAGATAACACACGAACAACCAAGATTCAAAGAAAACTAACAAATATGACTGAACATAGTCTCACTGGCCCTTTATATATGATGATAGCATTTGATTAATCGTCGTAATTGAACTCAGAGTGGTGCACGCTTGTGCTGACGGAAAGCAGCGCGCGGTTCAGAGATGAGCACAGGACACATCTCCCGGCCCTCTGAACTTGCGGGGCGGTTTGACTCGCTGAGTAGAGCTACCTAGCGTTCTTGACTTTTACCGGACGAGACGAGAGGCGCGTTGGTCGGCGTCGAAACTAGTAGGGGTACGATGCATGATGCATGGTCGGGGCAACGTATTTTTATTTTTTTAATAAAGAGAAAAGGTAGACCTGGCAGCGCATTATAGATTATAACAAAGCGTGCGCCGACCCGGCAGTGCAGTGCACGGGCAATGAGAACGGCACGTCGACACCTGAGCAGGCACGGCTGCCCCGCGCACGTGGCCTTGCCGAGGCCGAGCCAGCCAGCGCGGCGGTCTAGCTCGATCTAGCTAGCACTAGCAGCAAGGCCATGCATGTTGCTAGGTACCCCGGGACTACAGGGCCAACCTGGACCCCGCGTGAGCCTCACGTGGACGCGCATGCATGCACAGCCGATCGACGCAGCACCCCGGGCGGTCGCGTTCACTGTAACAAGCTAGCTGCCTAAAGGCGATCGCGACGACGCGTCGGACGGACGGCCGGCGGCCTGGTCTAGCTAGCTAGCTAGCTCGTTCGTAGCTAGCTAGCACGCACAGAGCGCAGGCGCATGCGGTCTAGCTCGATCTAGCTAGCACTAGAAGCAAGGCCACGCATAGCTGCAAGCGCGACTGACACGTCTGTACTCTCGCGCGCCCACCGGCCGGTGGATCGGAGTCGAGCTGAGTCATGACCTCGGGGCCGCTAACCACGGCGCCGAGCTCAATATCAAGATCTACGTCCGCCTGCTAAATTATCATCATGTCAGCGTCGAGCCCAAAAGCTCGGCATCAGCAACGACGGCGCCGAGCAGTATAACATCGACGTCAGCAACGATGGCGCCGAGCTAAGAATCCAGATTTTGAAATTTTTCCTGAAGAGACATATTTGTGATTTTTTTTAAAAAAAGGTTAAAAAAATAAAAAATTCGGACGTAGTGATGGCACCCACTAAACGACCACGACCATTTTTACTTGTGGACGGGCACTTTGCCACACAGAGTGGTGGGCTATAAGCTGGAGTGCTCTGATTGATCCACGTAGCGGGAATGAACTTCTCACGGAGGGCCAGCACTAGCTAGGAGTCGGTGTTGGCATGTAATGATGTAAACGGCATGTAGTACTACGTATCTTGATGTGATGTCTATGCTATGTACATACGGCGTCATGTAAAAGTGATCGAGGAGTATATCTTACTGCAGTCGTAAACTTGTCCTAAAAGAGAGGGAGACCACAGTAAGATGGCTCCGACAACATCACGCCATCCAATCACATGACATCACATCACAAATATACATGCAGCATATCACGCGAACTCCAGCATACGAGAGCAACGATTTTCCATGTGCCATGCCATCACCCTCCTGGCACGGTACGCCGCTTCTGCCGGCTGGGCCCCGCTTCTGCCGAGGGAGTGACTTGGTGGGACCCGCCGCGCGACCGTGGCAGCGGCTATATAAAGGCCGGCCCAGTAACCGGCTAACCGCGTCCCCAGTCCGACAACGCCCCCAACCCAACCCTCTCCACAGTCCCCTCCGCGTCTCTGCTCTGCACTCTGCAGCAGAGCGGCCGCCTGCCGGCCATGGCGCGCGCGTCGCCGTCGTCCCTCGCCTTGGTGCTCATCATCGTGGCTGCCGCCGCTGCCGTGACCGCGTCGGAGGCGGTCAGGGTGCCCGCCGTCGGCAACTGGACGGAGGAGCTGCGCGGGGCTGCGGCGAGGCGGGCCCGGCAGCGGCACGGGTGGCAGTCCCGGCGCCGCGCGTTCGAGAACGGCCTCGGCCGGACGCCGCAGATGGGGTAAGTATATATTTACACTCGTCGTCGTTGCTTCCAGTGCAGTTTGGCCATGTTGGCCTTGGTGGTGCGTTTCAGCTGCTTTCTTGGTGGCTGGCTGTAATCAACACGCATGTTATCATGCTTATTTTGAACCTGCACTGTCAAGGAAAGCATGTGTGTACTCGTATGCTTGCATCACGTGTTTACTTGCTGCTGTCAGTTACTATAAACCTTTTGGGTCTCCGGTGACGAAATGTGCTGTGTTGTTTAGGTGGAATAGCTGGAACCACTTTGGCTGCGGGATCAACGAGAACCTCATCAAGCAGACAGGTACGCCTCCTCCTCCCCTACCCACTCCCCCTCTTTTCATTCTCGGCTGCTTGCTAGGAGTAGTCTTTTGCGTGTTCGCGGTCTCGCGGAGCAGAAAAGAAAACAAGAGTGAAACGCGGGCGTATCTGCTGCACGTTCTCGGGGAAAAAAAAAAAAGAGAGGGAGTGCTATTAGTGTGTATTGTTATCCGCGAGAGGTCGATTCCGTGGTCCGTGCCAAGTGCCGACTCTCCCTTTCAGCTTTTGGGTGCCATGCGGTCGAGTTCGGCAGATCACATCGGTTGGTCAGTCGGTTAGGCTCTCTCTCACGTACTACGTACCATTAGCGTCCTGTTGCGGGTGGCATGTTAGCATCAGCAAATTCGGCGATGCGCTTGTGCACAAGAGTCCAGACGATTTTGTTGTGTCTCTGTCCGCTTTCATTCAATCGTCCTGCTTTAAAAGGACAACCAACGCAACCTTTTTTAGCTTGTCTGGGTTAGAAACAAATCAACCATGGTGCTGCCTGTGTGCAAGTTGCATCGACATCACCGATCGTGGAGGTAGCCACAAACTCACACCGCTCCGGTCCAAGGAGTATGTCGTTGGTACGGTGTGCGGGGATCTCGTATCGCCTTCCCGGATTTCACACGAGGTGTAGGATGAGCTTAGTTTTTACAGAGAAGCAGGACAGATAAAAAGATGCTGGGGGCACGTGAATTTCAGTTCATGTAGTACCATCCAAACAACATGTTGTCAGTGACAAAACGCGGCCTGCAGCTTAAAGCCAGGCTATCAGAACGCGGAGCACAAGATCTGAGGTGTTTTTGCCTTTAACTCCTGCGCAGATGGTCTGGCCCAACGACTCAATACAGTTGGAGTACTGTGACTCAGCTGAACGCTTGCTTACCTTCGCTACGGTGCTGGACTTTGTCAGCTTCAGCCGCTCCTCCATCGGAGTCACGCATGGCTTGCACTCAGCCATGCCGCTCTACTCCAACAGTTTTGAGGCATACGCGCTCTGACCAAGCGTGAGTTCATCTTTTCATTGTCTCACCTCGATGCCGAGGTAGTAGGAGAGTGTGCCGAAATCGCTCATTCGAAAACGAGCCGTCATTTCACATTTGAAGCTGTTGATGCCCTCCGTGCGTGCGCCGGTGACGATCAAGTCGTCCACATACACGTCGACGACGAGCTCCTCCTTCCCGTCGCCGCGTGTAGAGCGCGTGCTCGAGTTGCGCACCTCTGGAACCTAAGCTCACCCAGCATGGCGTCAAGCTTGGCGTTCCATGCTCGTGGGGCTTTGCGCAGTCGGAGCACCCTGTGCTCCTCTCCCTTGACGGCGAAACCTGGAGGTTGCCCGACGAAGACTGTTTCTGCCAACTCGCCGTTGAGGAAGGCCGATTTAACGTCCAAGTGATGGACGTGCCAGTCCTTTGCTGCTGCCAAGGCTAGTAGCAAATGGACATACTCTATGCGTGCTACCGGCGAAAGACTTCTTCGAAGTCGATGCCCTCGCGCTGAACAAAGCCTCAGACGATGAGACGCGCCTTGTGCTTGACAATGGCGCCGTGCTCGTCCCGCTTAACCTTGTACACCCACTTCAGGCTGATCGGACGACATCCTAGAGGTGGATCAACGAGCTGCCAAGTCTTGTTTTCCTCGATCGCCTTTATCTCCTCCAGCATCGCCCGTCGCTAGTTTCCATCGCGCTCGGCTAGCGCGAACGTGGGTGGTTCCTCAGCACTGACGAGTAGCAGCTCAGGGTCGTTGAGCAGCCTACCCGCCAGGCTTGAGGGACCTATGTCGCCGACAATGTTGTCCAGCCTGCGAAACCGCACCTCCTCACCTTCGTGGAAGGCATCCACGAACTCAGTGATGTCACTCGGAGGTGAGGCGAACTCGATCGGCGTCGATGGAGTTCCCTGTTCCACCGGAGTGCTTGGCAGAGCACCCGGAGTGCTCGGCACCCTGGATGTAGTGCTCGGCACTACTCCTGGACAGCTCATCATTACTCCTGCAGTGCTCGGCACTACTGCAGGAGTGCTCAGCCTCAGTCTTGTAGTGGTCGACACCACTGTAAGACGCCTTGGATCCGCCACGGGAGTGCTCGGCACCTGTCCTGGAGTGGTCGCCACCACTACAGAACCTCCCGGCACCACTCCAGGCGTGCTCGGCATCCCTCAAGAAGTGCTCGGCACTTCTCTCGGAGTGCTCGGCATCCCTCCTGAAGTGCTCGGCACTGCCCCAGGAGTGCTCGGCTCTACCGCTGGAGTGCTAGGCACCCCTCCTAGAGTGCTCGGCACCTCTTCCCCAGTGTCTCCACCATCATGGATGACCAGGTGCTCGACGACGAAGGTGCTGGTGAAACCGCCAGCTTCCCCCGTGCTCGGACTGCTCTAGTCCCAAGCTGCCTTCTCGTCGAACACGACGTCGCGCGAGACAAGAGCCTTGTCTCCTCGTGGGTCATTGAGCCGGTATGCCTTGGTACCCTCCGCGTAGCCCAGGAACACCATCGATGTGCTCCTGTCCTCCAGCTTGGTGAGGTTTGGCTTCGTCTTCCTGACGTGGCCGATGGAGCTGAATGTCCGAAGGAAGGACACGCTCGGCTTGCGCCCATACCAAGCTTCGAATGGCGTCTTGCCCGTCAGGGCCTTGGTCGGAGCACGGTTGAAGATAAACACCGCCGTGGTCACCGCCTTCTCCCAGAACCTTGCCGGCATGCATTTGGCCTTCATCATGGATCAGGCCATGCCGACCACCGTCTGGTTCCGTCGCTCCACCACGCCATTCTGTTGTGACGAGTACGACACGGTGTGGTGTCGCCCCACACCCTAATCCGCGCAGTACGCAATGAACTCCGCCGAAGTGAATTCGTTGCCTCGATCAATCCTCAGCACGCGGAGCTTCTTGCCGCTCTCAGCCTTCGCGCACATCTTGAACTTTTGATCACTGCCGCCGCTTCGTCCTTGCTCGTCAGGAGTTGCAGCCACATGAAGCGACTGCAATCATCCATGAGCAGGAGGAAGTATCGCCAACCACCGTTTGTAGCTAGCGTGATCGGCCCGCAGAGGTCGCCGTGGACGAGCTCGAGAGCGTCCTTCGCGCAATACTTGGCCGCCTTTGGGAACGGTATCCCCCTCTGTTTCCGGGCCAGGCAGCTGTCACACAGCTCGCCTCCGTACTTGATGTGGGATAGCCCTTGGACCATCTTCTCTAGCCGACCAAGTGCGTTAAAGCTGAGATGTCTGAACCGGGCATGCCACATCCACAGTTCCTCGGTGTGCCTTGCTGCCAGACACATCGGCTGCTCTACCTTTAAGTCGAGCAGGTACAACCGGTTCAGGGACCTCTTCATCTTGGCAAGAAGTCGTTGCTCCCGGTCCCTGATCCTAAGGACTCCGTCCTTGATCAATACCTCGCTACCGCGCTCATCCAGCTGACCAATGCTAATGATGCTGAAACGCAGCTGCGGGATGTAATATACATCCATTAGCGCGCGGTGCTCCCCGTTCTGACACCTGAAGATGATGGTGCCGCGCCCTTAGATAGCCACCCTTGAGCCGTCACCAAACTTTACCGTACCGGTAACATCGCCGTCGAGCTCGAAGAAGGATGCCTTCGAGCCCGTCATGTAGTTGCTGGCACCAGAGTCCAGATACCACCGCTGCTCCTAGTCGGCGCCCACACGTCCGAGGTGGACTTGGGCGCGTGGTTCGTCAAGGTTGACAGTCTTCAGGGCCTTCCCAAGTCCTTCCACCGTCGTCGCCTCTTCCCTCTCCTCGGCCTCGACGTTGTGCAGTGCATAGAACGTCGCCAGCAGGATAGTGGCCTCATCCTCGTCATCAGCTTACACCAGATGAGCCTCAACCTTCTTCTTCTGCTTGTGATTTGGGCACTCCCGTTCCCAATGGCCCGTCTTCCCGTAGCGCCAACAGGCGTTGGAGTCGACCTGCTTCTTCTTTTTCGAAGAAGCATTGCCGCGGCGCTTGCCATCGCCACCGCGGTTGGAGGAGGCTGTCTTCCCGGAGTTTCTCCGAGCAGCCCACTCCTTCTCTGTCAGCAGCAACTTGCCGCTGTTCTTCGTCGCTGTTGCCTGCTCCAAGCGCTCGTCCACCGCCCACAGACGGCCTGTTACATCCTCAATGGTGAGGGTGGACAAGTCCAGCATCGTCTCTATGGAGAAAGCGATCTGGATGTACTTTACCGGCATGGAGTGGAGGTACTTGGAGACCGCCTCCTCTTCGTCGATGGTGACGCCGTGGCTCTTCAGCTTGCTGATGAGCGTCTGCAGGTGGAGGGAGAAGTCCTCCACCGTTTCACCATCCTTGAACTTGAGGTTGGCGTACTTCTGCTTCAGAAGCTGGGCCGTCGCCTTCTTTGCGCGGTCAGAACCGACGCGCATCGCCGCAATAGCCTCTCACGCCTCCTTAGCAGAGCTCTTCGCTCCCCAACGGCTCCCTATACTCCGCTGGTACAGCAGCGAGGATAGCCTCCAACACTGATATGTCATGTTCTTTATTGTCGGTGCCCTTGTCAACAACATTCTAGAGCCGTCGGACTCTAAGCTTGATCTTCATGGTCACCGACCACTCTCCATAGTTGGTGCGAGTCAGCGTCGACCAACTGGTGCCCCTGACCTCCCGCACCGTGCGAACAACGACCTCCGACCGTGGCTGGGCAGCCACAGCAGTGCCACTGCTGTCGCTCATCTCCGAACCGCTCCGTCATCACTAGCGGTTAGTCTGGCGATCGGCGTTTATATGGCTCTGATACCACTTGTTAGCCCACAGGATCACCGGCTCAGATGAGTTGACCACTCACCAGTCTTGCCGAGCACCCGCTAGTGTTGCCGAGCACCCACTAGCTATGCCGACCACGAACAAGCGTTGTCCGTCCCCACACACTATATTTCGAGGTTGAAGAAGAGGGAGAACAGAGCATACACACAGTACAGGCACCAGCGTTGGCCGGAGCCCTGTCTAGGAGATGGCAAATCTGAACTCTGTTTACTGAGTTGCCGTGGCAGTCTATTTATACAACTCTATCCATTTAGTACTAGTAGTACAATTTGTCATCTCTGTATAAGTGACTAGATAACACAGCAGAAGCTGACTGCTGCGCGGCCTCTCTGCATGTGGCTACACTGATCTTTGCAGGTGAGCCGTTTGGGCGCTGCACTGCGGCGCCTCTGATATCACAACGAGGAGAGCCTTTCGGCGCCGTCTTCCCCTGCTGTGTGTTCACACAAGGTAGCAGTAGATTATCTAACACCACTTAGTCACCAGTTCCATGTTATGGGTGGTTGAAGCAGGACAAATGCCCCGTGATCACGTTGTTGTATTAGAATAATGCAAAGGAGATGTTATGCTGTAAAAATTCTCCTATCAACCATACTCATTCATAAACTTGCCATCGTTACATACATATTTGGTTTGGAGAAATCACGTGAGAACCTCAATAATTCTGCTCTAACAGTTTTCCTTTTCTTCAGCTGATGCACTGGTCAACACTGGTCTGGCGAAATTGGGCTATGAGTATGTTAATATAGGTGTGGATTGTGATCTAAAAGCTCATTTCATATGACACATAGTACATAAATTAGTCCTTAGCTGAAAGGTTTCCCGTATCTTCTTTCAGATGACTGCTGGGCAGAATCTGATAGGGACTACCAGGTAAGAAGATCAAATTTGCCTACAGATGCAGCACGCTAACCACTAACCACCCAAATCCTTTTCAGCATTAACATCAGTGCAAGCAAAAAAAATGTGGAGACGAACTTCTAGGAAGCACAAAAGTAAATGGAGAGGAACTCATCAATAACAACTAGCTAATAGAGAACTTTAAAACTTTGCTTTTATTTGCTAATGAGGATTTAAATACAGAACTAGTCTGATGGATTATTGCAGCTATAGTGAGTCATTGAAGTTTTTTTCTTTTACAAACTTTTGTGACCCAGTAGCCAAAACACACTCTACCTTTTATTTTCCTCTTACAGGATGACCTGACTACCAGTCTGTCGCTATTGACAAAATTGCATTATTATTTTTGTGTTATTATTTCTCAGGGAAACTTTGTGGCAAATAGACAAACCTTCCCCTCTTGCATCAAGGCACTCGCAGATTATGTCCATGCAAAAGGGCTGAAGTTTGGCATCTACAGTGATGCTGGGTATGATAGGCTGCTAGCTCTCAAAAATCAGTTTTATTATGATATATAAGTGCCAGTTTATTCTCGTCTGGAGTAACTGTAATCCTCAATACCCAAGGAAAATAATAATTTGTAATAGTAATCCTTAAACTGAACTGCTACTATTCATGGCAGGGCAAGGACATGCAGCCAAAAAATGCCAGGATCACTTGATCATGAAGAGCAGGATGTGAAAACATTTTCATCTTGGGTAAAATCTCTTTCTATTGCTTCCCTGATGACTGTGCTAAATCAACATTTTCTGGTGCTCTTCTAACTCTTCTTTTCTCAACTCCAGGGTATTGATTATCTGAAATATGACAACTGCAATGATGCTGGCAGGAGTGTAATGGAGAGGTAAACAAGAACGATACCTTAAAACTGCATTGTGATTGATGCATCTAGCATTGCATGCCAGATTGCTGAGTAACTTATGGCTATTGCAGATATACTAAAATGAGCAATGCTATGAAGACCTATGGAAAGAACATCTTCTTCTCGCTGTGTGAATGGTCAGTTTCCTCCTAGCAACACTTCTGTCCAGAGGGAAGAAATTGTTACTGGTACTAATTTCTTCAACTGGGCCTCTTCTATATAGGGGAAGAGAAAATCCTGCTACCTGGGCAGGCAGCATGGGAAACAGCTGGAGAACAACTGATGATATCGCTGACAACTGGGGCAGGTGCTGTTCATTTCATTTTAATCCAGTTGGATACTTGGATAGCTACTGAAATTGACAGGACTGACCATAGTTACCATGATATTTCAGCATGACATCTCGTGCAGACCAGAATGACAGATGGGCTTCCTACGCCGGACCTGGTGGGTGGAACGGTAAGAGTTCAGACATCAGACGATTCTGTTCGTGCCTAAACATTTGTGAAATTTTACCAATTGATAATAGATTCTCTTGTGTTTGAACATCAGATCCTGACATGCTTGAAGTGGGCAACGGTGGTATGTCTGAGGCGGAGTACCGTTCTCACTTCAGCATCTGGGCACTTGCCAAGGTAGTAAAAAAATTTCTGCATGTTAACAGTGCTGTTGCAATGTTAAATGGTCTGCAGTTTCATCACTGGAAACCTGTCTTGCCTTGTGCAGGCTCCTCTTCTGATCGGGTGCGACGTACGGTCGATGAGCCAGCAGACAAAGGACATACTCAGCAACTCGGAAGTCATCGCTGTGAACCAAGGCAAGACTTCCCTTTCACATTCTTAACTACGATGGTTTTATGGCGTTTCAGTGTACTGATGCAACATATTTCTGAACAGATAGTCTAGGTGTCCAAGGAAAGAAAGTGCAATCCAACAATGACTTGGAGGTAAGTTTTCCTCAACCTCAGCATTAGCACCTTCCATGAAGCAGTTTGTTCCACAGCAAAACCACAGAAAGCCTTAGTATTGTTCTGATTTCTGATGCTGAGAGTGCTGTGTTCTTTTGTAGGTTTGGGCTGGGCCACTCAGCAACAACAGGAAGGCCGTGGTGCTCTGGAACCGGCAGGGCTACCAGGCAACCATCACCGCACAATGGTCGAGCATCGGGCTTGCTTCATCCACAGCTGTCACTGCTCGTGACCTATGGGCGGTACGCTTGCCTTCTTTCTTTCTTCAGATTGCATACTCCATCTCATAATCATGTAATGAAGGTTGATGTTCAGACTTGAGATTTCGTATTCCATTTTGTTGTGCAGCACTCATCATTCTCGGCACAGGGCCAATTATCAGCTTCAGTGGCACCTCACGACTGCAAGATGTATGTCCTGACGCCAAATTAACTTAGAAGACAAGAGCAGATTCCATAGTGTGGGATGCAACCATTCGATCAAGATTCAGGAAAAAGAGTATGCAGGCAAGGATTCCAAAAGAAGGAAATGAGATATCATTTAGTTATACTGGACAGGAGTGTTATGGGGGAATAATTTATAATCTAAGTGTATCTAAGGCGCTGTCAAATGTCAGTGCCTGTATTACTGAATGTTTGCAACGAAAGTTGCAGCAATAAAATTGGCTTGCCCACCACTCTCTTTACGAGCATGTTAACGGATTTCAGAGAGCGGGAGATGCCATCATGGTTTCGTTTCGTTGAATATGGAAATGCCATCCCGCTTTCGCGGGATTCTTCACCCACTCAATGGCACGACAGGCATCGCTCATTGCCATCTGAATTGAGGAGAGAATTTTCGTACGTTATAAAATTGTAACGGCAGGTTCCACGCAGAACCAAATGATGCATCTAACAAACTGAAGCCGTCAAGCCGGGATACCTTGATGTGGACGCTGGTGGGATAGCGGGCGGCGCCGAGCAGCTTCCTGGCGCCTGGCCGCGAACCTCTCCCAAACCCTGGCCACGCGAGTGCCAGACCTTAGACGACCTGCCGATCTCCCAGCTGCAGGCTCGGAGGGCGGAGGCTCCGTTAGGACGGCTCCTGCCTCCTGGTGGCTGGTTGGTACCCACAGCCTCTCCGCGGGTCAGATAGATCCTACTAATTCCTGAAAATGGACTGCGAATCAACGGCCCGTCAACTTTGATCCCATTTGGTTTGGAAAAAAAGAATATATTTTTCCTCCCACGAAGGCCACAACTATCACAAAACTCATCTTTTTCTCTTTCGTCTCCCAAATTCAGACACGTGACCCACGACTAAATTTCTCACCGTGCTTTTACAAATTTCAAAAGATCCTGGAGATAAATTGAGATACGCCAAATTCAAATGAAATATTTAGAGCTCATGAAAATATATCTAGATGCTTAAAAATAGTTTTGTCTCTAGAAAAATGGAAAAATATATAGAAATTCCTAAAACATTTTAATCAATGTATAAACATGTTATAAAAATTTTGCACGACAAAGTTATGGGATGCAACTAGCATGAATGTAGCGTACAGTAATGTTGAATGAATTTATGCTATGCATTTGTGATGGTTACATATTATGTATTTTATTTTGGTAAGTTTTGAAAACATGTTTATAGATTGATTAGAATGTTTTACGATTTTTTGAATATTTTTTCATTTTCCTAGAGCTAAACCTACTTTTTAAAGCATCTAGAGATATTTTCATGAACTCTAAATATTTCATTTGAATTTGGCGTATACCCAATCTATCTTTAGAATTCTTTCTAGAATTATTAAAAGCTTAGAGATATTTCATGCGGTTAAAAATTTTATCAACTATTTATCGAATTTTTTAACTAAAAGTTAAGCACCTTCAAAACCACTCAAAATCAGGACACCAAGGTAATTTAAAGGGGTTTGAATGTTCAAAAGGTAAAATGTCTGATTTTAGCGTTTGAGGAGGAAAAACAGACTACGGTGGTGATAGTTCAGGAAAAGATTACCCAAACCAATTTAGCCCACAACCTTCTCATCCCTCCAAACCAAATCGGCCCAATAAGATAAGCAGACCATAAAAACGGTTTTGGCCCAAACCACTTCCAGTTTTAAGTTTGCTCCGGACTCTATGCTGTTTCTTCTTCCACTACCCTGCCGTTTCTTCTTCCACTACCCCCAGCGTGCCGTCGCTGCCGACCTAGGTACGCCGGGTGCCCAGGTCTTCTTCCGGCCTTCGCCGGCGACGGGCACCACCAGGTACGCGCACCCCTGGGCTTTCCTTCCTTCTGTGCGAAACCGAGCACCCAAACCCTAACTTACTATTTGCAATCGGGTCTGATCTAGTTAAAGTGTATCTGCATGTATTATGCGGTTATGCCTACTAACTTTGAGTACTCTGCAAAAAAATTCGGGCCCTGGTTGATGCCATATCACATCGAGATATAACCACACCCGTTGATTGAAAATCATGTTATTCCAATTTTCCTATACACCACAAAGTGGCAGCAGTATTTTTGAAGTCATATTAGCATTTTTCTTCTTCGCTTATCTCAGCATCTGATGCGAAATCACCCAATAATTACACAAAAATAGAACAAATTTCATCCTGAATAGCTTTACAGCTGATGCCGTTTCAGTACAAAAAGACACAAAACTCAGAAATTTCAACGAGTTAATTTTTTGAAACACCTGTTTAGTCAGCAATTTATGTTGGGAAAGCAACCATAGTTCATAGAATTTAAGATTTTCAGATCCATGGTACAAACTATTATTAGGCATTTTAAGCTTCTCCATTTATGGGATGGGATTAACATATATGTACAATACAAAAGATTGGTCACTATTTCCTTTTTTTTTTGTCTCTTTGCTAACTTGCAGCAACAAGTATATGTAGCATATGCTTCAAGCGAACAAGGACAAAATGGGTTCATCTGAGGATGACTTCACCCCACTGTCTGAGTTGACCGTTGGAATGAACAAATGTAGAGTCCGGGTGCGCGTCTCACGGCTGTGGGAATCCTTCAATCCGAAAAATGACATATCATTTGGCCTTGACTGCCTTCTGATCGATGATCAGGTGATGCATTCCCTACTTAAGTTAAACACCAAATGTCTGATCACAATGCTTGCTACTAATGTTAAATTACCATCCTTTGAGGTTTCAATGTTGGTCCCTCGACTCCCAACACAGGTAAGCAGCTTGCTTACCAGCTCACACACACACTCACAATGGCTAGAGGTAGAAGAAAAAGGGTGAGCACAACACACACAGCCGAGCAGCAAAGCTGCTGCTCTGGAAGTTGCTTCAGCTGAACTGAATTTTGCATTGCCTTAGGTGTGGTATATATACAACTCTTGTACCAACTATAAGGTACACAAGAGTATGGCTGAGTACAGCCCCATCTACTTCTAGTACTACTAGTACATTGGCTTAGGTCAGTCCATTACCAAGACATGGCTGATGTAGCCTTCTACCAACTACATGTACTAGAGATGGCCTATTGCCTTACATTCTACAGCAACCAGGAGCTGACCGAGTGCCTGCTCCTGATGCAGAATCAGATGGAGAGAGATCAGCAGCAGATTATGTCTTATATTCAATACACTGATTCTTCCACTTGTTTTTCACTTGTAGGGTGAAACTATGCAGGCACGTGTACTTCCTGACTATATAGACCAGTTTGAAGGGCAGTTAATTGAAGGGAAGGTCTATGCCCTGTCGGATTTTACAGTTGATGATACTAGGGAAAGCTACATGACCTGTAGCAATGAGTTCACTATATACTTTGGAAGCAGACTGTGGTCAATGAGATAGAAGGAGATATTGATTCGATACCCCTCCACAGCTTTGAGTTCATTGATTTTAAGAATCTCCATTCTATGTGCGACGACATTAGCATATTAAGAGGTAGATTCTTTTGGAACTGCAAATTTGATCAGAGTTACTGCCACATTTCTCTCTCTTTTTTTCACCCTTACATGTGCGGATATAAATAATGCAGATGTTCTGGGCCACATAGTATATGTTGGGGATCTGCACGAGAACGAGAAAAAATCCCGCACTATAGAAATTTACAATGCCACAATTCAGAATTTGAGGTAATTGAATACAGTTCTCCTTTTTGGATGATTGATGTCCCTTGATAGCTCCTCACTGCTGGAGTTACCGTTACAGTGGAAAGAAACTGAGTGTCACATTGTATGGAGATATTGCTTGCGGTTTTGCTGAAGAAATGCTTGAGAAAGGCCCAAAAGCCTCAGTTGTTGCTGTCTTTGCAGGGATGCACTTTGAAAGCTCAGATTCAGGTTAATCATTGATCCACCCTTTCATTGTCGGCTTCTACTATGCAATACTGTCAAATTATATATCTTTATTTTCTTGCAAAATGTTAGTCTCTATCATTTGATGCAACCATAGTGTGTACTGAGATATTCTGGTGCCATTTGTTCTGAAGTCATGATATTTTGTGTTATAGTTTGCTCTACAACATGTTCGAAGTACTATATAGATCTGGAAATACCAGAGGTTCAAGAATTCCGTGAGAAGTGAGTGGACTTCATAAGTTCGTACCTACATTGATGATTGATCTATGATGTAAGCACATGGCTAACTGGTTCGTGTGCGTGCAGTCTGCGCATTCAGCAAGAAAACCCTATTCCAGAAAAAAGTCGAGCTCAGAAGTTAGCCGAGAGTTGGCGAACAGTTGAACAGCTAAAACGCCTCAATCCAAAGGATTATGACAAGGTTAATTAAGAGGCTGCTCTTCTCATGACGTGCAATGCCGATCTGTTCTACTCACATACCTGTCTTCACTTGCAGGATACCATGTTTCTGTGCAGTCTCCCTGATAGATATAGACTGCACCAGTAAATGGTGTTATCTTGGATGCGATACCTGCCAAAAGTCAATGTACGGGGCCCCAAGAAAATACAAGTGCAGCCAATGTGGCCCGATTAAGAGGCCAGTTCACTGGTATGCTGCCATTTGTTGCTCAAATGATCCTCAGTTCTAATGGTTGCTCAATTTGTAAGTCACTAATTACCACACTGCTGTTCTGGACACGCAAGGTACAAGCTGAAGACGACGGTGAAAGATGCCACAGGCACAATGAACTTGATGATCTTCTGTGATGTGGCGGAGGAGCTGGTTGGTGTCTCTGCGGACGAGCTCGTTGATGAGATCGAGGATGAGGAGTTGTATACCCTGCCAGATGAAATAAAGGATCTTCTTGGGTCGACCCACACCTTCCAAGTATTCAACAAGGATCTAAGCGGGAGCTTCTCGGTATATTTGATCATGGACCATGATACCGTCCCAGTCCCTTCTGCAACCACTAGTCAAGGCAACGAGGAGAGCAACGTTGTGACGGGAGAAGCAAGGTTGAAGTCCACTCGACTCCAGAAGCCTAACAAGCGTCTGCGAGGGGACGACTGGATCAACTAACTCGTCGAGCGACTTTCTGACTCGTTTAGCGTACTAGGCTAATGCATCCTCTAGGATGGGTCCTGTTCTCTTCTAGTGCCTGGGAACAACTACTGCTATGTGCTGTGACTCGATCTGGTGTCAGTGCTAGGTAACTTGTTCAAGAACGATGTTTATCGTGCCATTATTAATGCCAAATGTGCTTCGCGTTGAGTGGCGTGCTCTGTTAGCTCCTGTGCCACGCGGTGCTCATGGTTTATAATCTGGAAATATTACGTATATAGTAGCAGTCCAGCAGAGTATTTTGCGTGTGGAGATGTTACTACAAGTTGGTTAGTCTAGCAACTTCGATGAGAAATTGAACTTCCGTCATTTTGCAAACTTTTATATCAGAAAGAAGAATTTGAGAACATTTCAAGCAAGGATTGACGACGATACGGAGAAGAAAGGGAACCACTGGCCACTGCTCCGCGGCTCTCAGCCCCTTTGGCTGGGACGAACATCTGGACACGCAGGCACGCAGCAGGTGCAGGCTGTAGTCGAATGCCGACCACGACTACGACGTCTGCAGAGGCGCGGAAGCCACCAACTGCGGACACCGCCGCTTGCCCCTCGTCGTCCAGGCACCGGGGGCAGCCCGAGGCCGTGCGGCCGCCCGTGCACACGCCACTCGACGTCGTGTTCGCGCCAGCGTAGAACCACCCGCGGAAAGCGTCCTGGAGGGACGACGAGGCGTCCTTGTCCGCATATATAAGCATAGGACAGCTCAAGTGCTGAAGCACCCGGCGCGTCAGACACCCGCGCGCTGATTCCGGTCTGCTTTCGCCAACTTGGAGCACGAGTCTGATTTTTTCGAAGAGAACACGAGTGTGATTTTCGACGAAGCGTTTTGAGTTTTTGACTCGCTGGCGCCTCGACGTCCGATCTGAAACGATAGCGTCAAACGGTATTGCTCAGCGAGCGACAAGTGTCCCAGCACGTCGGGTTTGCGAGCGACCGCCTCAGCAGCGGGCCCACGCTGCCAGCTGCTTTTCCACGAGGATCTATTTTTAAAACATTCATATGTAACCGTTATAACATGTGTCTGAAACACTTATAAAAACACTTGAAAGCCATTGCAAACATATACAACATCCAGCTGAAACACTTTAAACATATGTATGAAACACCTGAAGTACTTAAAACATAATTTTGCAACATGCATGTATATGATCCAAATCTATTTTTGCAACATTCAGATGAAAACACTTGCAACATACATTTAATACAGATAAAACATTTGGAGCATACGCTTGAAATATACATGAATAGTTATTGCAAAATATGCAACATCCCGATCTACTTTTACAACATCTTAATTTTCTTTTGCAACAACGATATGAAACACTTGTAATACACCTTTGAAATATCAAAACGTATGTTCGTAGCATGCGCTTTCAGAGCAACATCTCCTTGCTGCTTAGGAATGAAGGCTTGTCGGGGCGTGGAATTCACTAGCGTAGAGCTCACCCGTGCAGAGCTCGTCGCTCCGGTGGAGAAGGTCGCGGTGGGTTGCCCTGGTGGAGAAGACGGACCGCGCGTTGGAGAACGCCGCGAGATAGAGTGGGGCGCGGGGGAGATGGAGCACACCATGACGGAGGACGCAGCGCGGGATGGGGCGCGCGGAGGGGATGGCGGGAGCGGATGGCAGCAGGGCCGTGCGGTGCGGAGAGGAGCGAGCTAACGGCACGGTGATTTCTGCGGTCTAGGAAGCGGCGTTCGGTCGGTCGAACGGCCATGTTCAAGCATTTCCGTTTCTTTAAAAGGAAGTCGATCATGCATTTACTCTTATGAACTTACTAATAGCTCATGGTAGTAATATTTATTGTCGTCAGCGTGACGTTAACGGACATAATTTATATTTAGGCAAGCTTCGTCAGAGTTTCAATCTCGTTAACGTAGACAAAAATGCGACAATTTAAAATGTGTTGACATTGACAAGGAAGCACGGTTTGAGTGCATTAACTAATAACCGAAAGAACCCGATCACTCTAAAACAGATTGGAAAAAAAATCATCTGACCTCCCTTAACTATTGCACAAATCTCTCTCAACTAAAAATTTGAACTTTTTAGACTCCTAACTTTTGAAACCGTCGGATTTGCATCCCTGAGCAGTTTCAAAAGAGGTTTTAGCTGACGTGATGTCACACCATCCAAATCAGACCTGTATGATAATTCAAGAAACCAATTAAACTTTATATAAAAAACTTTGTAAATATTTTTTTAGAAAATATGAAATATTTTTCTAGAAACATATAAATTTAAAAATACTAAGATCTTATTTGACCTCAGAAAATCCGTAGAAAAATTACTTTAACTTAGTTTTATATTTTTCCTAAAATCATGCTCTATGTTTTTTGTGAGCTAGGCACATGAAGTTCGCTGCCTCGAGTCCGTCCAAACCGCCTTCCTGCTCAATCATGTGGTTCCGGTAGGCCGCGTCCATCCAGATTTAAGCATTTGTGTTCATGAAAATTCCCTTAGTTAAATGTTTTCGTACATAATTAGTTAAACATTTTCATGTTTCCTGTGAAGACCGCTAAATTAAATAGCTTCAGCTACTAGCTTGTTATAGCTTCTAGATTAGAAGAAGATACTGCTAAATGTCATAGTGCGCTATTTACAACATTGTATTTTTATTGAGAATCTTTTGTGCATGTCTCGATGATTAAGCAAACATGTGTTGTGAAGAAAACATTGTTACACTTTGCACGGTGGGTTTCACGGTAATCTACGTTGCAATCAATAAAGATTTGTCTTAGCCTGCATCCTTCGTTTTATATTTGGCCTAGTTTTAGATTTTAGGATAATGTATAAGATTCAGATAATTCTGAGCAAAGAAAAAAAACGTAGAGCATGATTTTTAAAAAATAAAATAAAATATGTTTCATATTTTTCTGAGCTAAAACAAATTTCTATGAATTTTCTGAAGTTAAATGAAATTCTTAGTACTTTTCAATAGATGTTTTAAAAAATATTCGGATAATTTATCAAAAAATTATTTTTACAAATTTTTAATAAAATTTAATTGACCTCTCTAAACTATCTCGAAAGCTCGGTTTACCTCTCTCATGGCTGACGTAATGCTACATACATGGTTGATGTAGTCACTTCTAAAACCGCTTAAAAGATATAGATTTAAAAATTAACATGTCTAAAAATGTTATTTTTCGGTTGAGAGAGAGGCAAATTGAACTTGTGTAATAGTTAAGGGATGTCAGACTTTTTTCAAACAGATTACCCAAACTAAATCAGCCCACCAACCTCAGTATGTTTCCTTCCAAACTGAATCGGCCCAGTAAGATTACCAGACCATAAAAATCGGTTGTGGCCCAAACCATTGCCTGGTTTAAGTTTTGCTCCGGACTATACCCCTAGCGTGCCGTCGCTGCCGACCTAGGTACGCCGGGTGCCCAGGTGAAGACCTCCACCGGCGACGGACACCACCAGGTACGCCGACCCCTTGGTCTTCCCTTCCTGCTGTGTGAAACCGAGCATCCAAACCCTAACTTACTATTTGCAATCGGATCTGATCTATTCATGTATTATGCGGTTATGCCTACTAACTTTGAGTGCTTTGCAAAAATGATCGGGTGTACATACGTACACCCATGTCCTTTACTGGTTCCGCCCCTGAGTAATGCCATATCGCATTGAGATATAACCGCATCCGTTGATTGAAAATCACATTATTCCAATTTTCCTGTGCACCGCATAGTGGCAGCAGTATTTTGAACTGATGTTAGCATTTTTCTTCTTCCCTTAGCTCAGCATCTGATGCGAAATCACTTCCAATATTTACAAAAAAAAAAAACGAGATCCAACCTAGGAGGAACTAGTTGTTTTTTCATTAAGAAGAGAAATAGGCACCCATATTCAGTCCAAGAGGGGACTTGAACCTGTGTGGTTGGGTGCATTGCCACACCTCTCACCCAACTAGTTGAGCTAGGCTCACTTCCTCTACCAATATTTACACGAAAAATAGAACAAATTTCATCCGGAATAACTTTATAAATGATGTCGTTTACAGTACATAAAAACAAAACTCAGAAAATTTAACGAGTTAAAACTCTTGTTTAGTCTGCAATTTATGATGGGAAAGCAACCATAGTCCATAAAGTTTCAGATTCATGGTGCAAACTATTATTAGGAATTTTAAGCTTATCCATTTATGGGATGGGGTTAACATATATATACAATACAAAAGATTGGTCACTATTTCCTTTTTTTGTCTCTATGCTAACTTGCAGCTGCATGTATATGTAGCATATGCTTCAAGCGAACAAGGACAAAATGGGTTCTTCTGCGGATGACTTCACCCCACTGTCTGAGTTGGATGTTGGAATGAACAAATGTAGAGTCGGGTTCGCGTATCGCGGCTGTGGGAATCCTTCAATCCGAAAAATGACATATCGTTCGGTCTTGACTGTCTTCTGATTGATGATGAGGTGATGCATTCCCTACCAAGTGAAACACCAAATGGCTGATCACATTGCTTGCTACTAATGTTAAATTACCATCCTTTGAGTTTTCAATACACTGATTCTTCCCATTGTTTTTCACTTGTAGGGTGAAACTATGCAGGCACGTGTACTTCCTGACGATATAGACCAGTTTCAAGGGCAGCTAATTGAAGGGAAGGTCTATGCCCTGTCGGATTTTACAGCTGATGATACTAGGGAAAGCTACATGACCTGTAGCAATGAGTTCACTATATACTTTGGAAGGCAGACTCTGGTCAATGAGATAGAAGGAGATATTGATTCGATACCCCTCCACAGCTTTGAGTTCATTGATTTTAAGAATCTCCGTTCTAGGTGCGACGACAATAGCGTATTAACAGGTAGATTCTTTTGGAACTGCAAGTTTGATCAGAGTTACTGCCACATTTCTCTCTTTTTTTCACTCTTACATGTGCGGATATAAATAATGCAGATGTTCTGGGCCACATAGTATATGTTGGGGATCTGCAGGAGGTCGAGAAAAAATCCCGCACTATAGAAATTTGCAATGCAACAATTCAGAATCTGAGGTAATTGAATACAGTTCTCCTTTTCGGATGATTGATGTCCCTTGATAGCTCCTCACTGCTGGAGTTACCATTTACAGTGGAAGGAAACTGGGTGTCACATTGTACGGAGATATTGCTTGCGGTTTTGCTGAAGATATGCTTGAGAAAGGCCAAAAAGCCTCAGGTGTTGCTGTCTTTGCAGGGATGCGCGTTGAAAGCTCACATTCAGGTTAATCCTTGATCCACCTTTTCATTGTTGGCTTCTACCATGTAATACTGTCAGATTATATCTCTTTATTTTCTTGCAAAACGTTAGTGTCTATCATTTGATGCGACCATAGTGTGTACTGAGAACTGAGATATTCTGGTGCCATTTGTTCTGAAGTGATGATATTTTGTGTTATAGTTTGCTCTACAACATGTTCGAAGTACTATCTAGATCTGGAAATACCAGAGGTTCAGGAATTCTGTGAGAAGTGAGTGGACTTCATAAGTTCATACCTACATTGATGATTGATCTATGATGTATTAGTACATGTCTAACTTGTTCGTGTGCATGCAGTCTAAGCATTCAGCAAGAAAACCCTGTTTCAGAAAAAAGTCAAGCTCAGAAGTTAGCTGAGAGTTGGCGAACAATTGAACAGCTAAAACGCCTCAATCCAAAGGATTACGACGAGGTTAATTAAGAGGCTGCTCTTCTCATGACGTGCAAAGCTTATCTGTTTTACTCACATACCTGTCTTCACTTGTAGGATACCAAGTTTCTGTGCAGAGTCTCCCTGATAGATATAGATTGCACCAGTGGTTGGTGTTATCTTGGATGCAATACCTGCTACAAGTCAATGTACAGGGCCCCAAGAAAATACAAGTGCAGCCGATGTGGCCCGATTAAGAGGCCAATTAACTGGTATGCTGCTATTTGTTGCTCAATTGATCCTCAATTTTTATGTTCTGATCCGTAGTGCTACTTTGCAGCGTTGCGGCTGCGGCTACCAGCTGCCTGCAGGCTGCAACGCTGAGCGCCGGCTTATGTGCAGCAGCAGCAGCCACAGCGCTGCAAGTCGCACAAACGAGCACAGCCTTACTTGTTGCTTAATTTGTAAGTCACTAATTACCACACTGCTGTTCTGGGCACGCAAGGTACAAGCTGAAGACGATGGTGCAAGATGCCACCGGCACAATGAACTTGATGATCTTTTGTGAGGTGGCGGAGGAGCTCGTTGGTGTCTCGGCGGAGGAGCTCGTTGATGAGATCGAGGATGACGAGGAGTGGTTCACCCTGCCAGATGAAATCGAGGATCTTCTTGGATCGACCCACACCTTCCAAGTATTCGACAAGCATCTAAGCGGGAGCTTCTCGGTATATGCAATCATGGACGATGATACCGTCCCAGTCCCTGCTGCAACCACTAGTCAATGCAAGGAGGAGAGTGTACCTGAGGGCAGTGTTAACGCAGCAGTCCCATCTCCAGCCACTACTCAATGCAAGGCGGAGCCTGGCATGGCAGCCCCTGCTCCAGCCATGATTCCATGCAAGGAGGAGCCTGTCCTTGAGGAAAATTTTAGCATGGTGGTCCCTGCTCCAACCACGAAACATGAATGCAAGGAGGAGCCATTCCTTGAACACAGTGTTAACATGGCAGTCCTTAAGCCAACCATTACTCAATGCAAGGTGGAGGAGCCTGTCCCCAAGGGCAGCGCTGGCACGGGAGAAGCAAGGTTGAAGTCCACTCGTCTCCAGAAGCCTAACAAGCGTCTGCTAGGGGATGACTGGATCAACTAACTCGTCGGGCCACGTTCACATTCAGAGTTCAGACGCTCTGTGACTCGTTTAGCGTACCTTAGGTTAATGCATCCTCTAGGATGGGTCCTGTTCTCTTCTAGTACCTGGGAGCAACTGTATCTACTGCTATGTGCTGTGACTCGATCTGGTGTCAATGCTAGGTAACAGACCTTTAGCTTGTTTAAGAACTCTGTTTATCGTACCATTGTTAGTGCCAAATGTGCTTCGCGTTGAGTGGCGTGGTTTCTTAGCGCCCATGCGATGCGGTGCTCATGGGTTTATAATCCGGAAATATTGTACAGTGGCAGTCTAGCAGTGTATTTTGCCTGTGGACATGTAACTAATACTAGAGGATCTTACAACAAGTAGGCTAGTCTTGCAACTTCGATGGGAGATTGAACTTCCGTCATTTTGCAAACGATGTCGGTGCCGAGGGCCGAGGCCAGGTTGCCGCAGTCGAGCAGTGGTGTCCCCCGCGAAGGTGACGCCGGAATTGTTGGCCGTCGTGACGAGGGCGGCGACGAAGACGGATGCACGGCAGCTCGAGAGGCCGCGGAGGTGCTGACCGGTGGCGCGGACGGAAGGGGGATCGGAGGAGGTGATCTGCTCGGCGCTGAAATGGAAAAGCAGCATACCTGCTCCTAAAATGCAAGTGCCGACTGCAGAGAGGACAAGGTGCGACTGCCAAGCCAGAGCAAATCAAAGAATACCCGCTTACCTTATTACTTTATAATATCGTCAAATATGTGGCTTTGGATGGTCCGTTGTAGTTTAGAATGGGGGTAAGGCCACTTGAATGGTGCAAGCGATCTATTTTAAAATATTCTCCTATTTCTTTATTTTTAAATATTAAAAAGAGTTAAAGGCATGGATGATCCATCAATTTGCACTCTAATTTCACTTAGGTCCATCAACTCTAAAAGTAGGTTTTTGGGTCCATAATCTTTGTTATTGGCGCATTCCTAACCCATACTCCTTTGTTTCAATTTTTTAATTGACGTGGCACCCCGGCTCTAGGTGGACGCCGCACACACGCATGCAGGTGCATGCATGGCTCTCGGCGCACACTGTTTAGCCGCAGCTGTTGGTCGGAATTCACCTAGGCTCTTGCTCCGGACGAGACGAGTCTATCATCCGACGGCGACTCGCTGGTACGGGTCCGCATCAAGACGACGTCGCTGCTGGCGAACCCGCACCGGTCGTCGCTCTACTACGTGAACATGACCGGCATCCGCGTTGGCAAGAAGGTGGTGCCCATCCCGGCGCCGGCGCTGGCGTTCAACCCGGCGACGGGTGCGGGCACCGTGCTGGACTCCGGCACCATGTTCACCCGGCTGGTGGCGCCGGCGTACATGGCCGTGCGGGATGAGGTCCGGTGCCGCGTCGGCGCGCCCGTGTCCTCGCTGGGAGGGTTCGACACGTGCTTCAACACCACCGCCATGGCGTGGCCGCCCGTGACGCTGCTGTTCGACGGCATGCAGGTGACGCTGCCGAGGAGAACGTGGTTATCCATAGCACGTATGGGACCATCAGCTGCCTGGCCATGGCCGCGGTGCCCGACGGCGTCGACACCGTGCTCAACGGCCTCGACGCCTGCCCTCCCCGCCCTCGACACCGTGCTCAACACCTGCGCGGGGAGACGCGCGAGCCGGGTTGGAACCGAGCGATGCCCCGGTCTAGAATTCGACGTCGCCGGCGAGCTCACGGATGGAGAACTCGACGAACACAACACAACGCGATAAAGTGGAATGAGAGAATTTTTGGTGCTGCCCTCAACTGCCGCAACTTCTCGGGGCTTGAAGCCCGAGTCCAGCGCCATGCCGATATCACCGTGCGCACGCCCGCTTTTGCCGAGACGTGCACCGCGTGCCGCAATGTCCGCCCTGGCGCGTATGAACCGAACTACTAGCTGTGTCGTGGGCCAAGCAAGCCACGGGCCACGCACAACATCTACGCTACACTTAACAGATGCAAACGAAAACAAAGATACATGTGCAACAATTTGACTAACAGCTGGCAGGCTGGGGAGAGACAGGCTCAGGCTTGCTGTTATTGACGACGGCGGCGGAGGCGTTGACAGCTTCGTCTTCGGGTGCAGCGACGACGTCCGGTTCAATGGCCGCGAAGCCGCCGGCATCGTCGGTTTTGGGAACGAGGCCTTCTCCATATGCCATGTCAACATCCATATGCCCGCGCCGATTCCCGCCGTCGACGTCGTGCACTACCACGCTGCCGGGCGGCCTCGCATCCGCTCGTGCCACGTCGCCGACACGGCCGCTCCTGCTCACGGTGGCGGCAACACCCAGACACGCTGCTGCTCGCCACTAGCAGAAAGAAGACAAAGGACATGAGGGTCTCCACTACTGCCTGTACTCGAGCACACCACCTCGCTCGTCCCAAGCGCCGTCGTGCCTTGTCTGTCAGGGGCCCTTGTTGGCCGGAGAAGAAGGCAAGAATGATGGAGCCCAAGACGGAGTGGCGCTCGCTCGTGATGGTGCGGCCAGCATGGTGGCCCGGCATGGCGCTCGCCGGTGGGGGCGAGGCGCCGTGGCCACCATGGCTGCCCAACGACGCGTGGCCATGGCGCTCGCCCAGTCGCCCCACACGGAGCGGCCATTGTGGCACGGCGCGTCGCTCATGGCGGCAGCCGACACGAGATCTTGGAGCGGCGCGGCTAGGGAGTTGGAGGAGCGTGAGCGAAGGCCTCCGTGGTGGGATGCGAGCACGAGCGCGAAGGGTGTTGAGCGCAGAGTAGGGCTTAGCGCGGATGGCCGATGGGCAGCATGGTGAAGCGTCGGTGAGCTCTGGTCGATCCAAGTGAGAGACGACGATGCCGCTCCTACTCGCGAGTCTGGCCGCCCGCTGCAGCCGCTTCTATGTGGCACATCAGCACTCTGCCCTCCTCTGCATCTGGGAGGAGGAGCTACTCCTAGTGCAGTAGCTCTTTCCCACGGCCGTCTCCTCCGGTGGATGCCCGACACGACGAGTCCGGTGCAGGGTGTGGCCACTGGCCAGACAAAGCAACGCATCGTATCCCAAGTGCTCGGTAGCGGCGGTGAATCAACATGAAGGATTGGAGAGAGAGGGAGCAGAATGACTAGGTGAATTCCGACCAACAACTACGGTTAAACAGTGTGCGCCGAGAGCCATGCATGCACCTGCATGCGTGTGTGCGGCGTCCAACTGGACCTGGAGGTGCCACGTTGTAGGATCTACTAGAAGATAAAGAAGGTCTAGAGAGAGGGGTGAATAGGCATGTAAAAATTCAACTTGAAACTCTGTTAGAGAGGGCAGCATTGCCGGCCTTATAGGGCGGCACTGCCGCTCTATGAAAAATAATCTAACACAGTTGAGATTTTACAGAGATGAACCTAACCCCACTAGCTGATTAATCCTGCAATATAGAGTCAAGATCCAGTCTTTGAACTAGATACCACAGAAACTTCACACAAAAGTGAATCGAGCAACTAAACCATAACAACAGCTAGCAATAAAGTAAACAACAAGTATAATGAAGAAGAAGCACGCAAGACACAAGATTTATCCCGTGGTTCAGCTTACCACTAAGGTTTGTCTAAGTCCACGTTGTTGAGGAAGCTACAAAAGGCTTGAGCTTGCCACTAAGGCTTGCCTTACCCTCGTTCTCAAATCAAGAGAGTGAACTTTTAAAGTGAGGGGTGATTTCTTAGCTTTTGAATGAGGTTACAAACCTCCCAAGGCTACCACACGAGTTGGCAAGCACAAGGGCGACGCCTAGCCAGCTAGGAGCAAGCTCCAAGAGTAACAAACCCTAGAACCACCAGCCAAACGTGAACCAAATGCTCTTAGACTTTGGGAATCAGTGGATCTCCTCTCCAATCGAGTTTTGCTGCCTTTTCTCTCTGTTTTGATGGTTGGAATTAAGGATTAGCTTGAGGGATGGAGGAGCAACAATGGAGGAGAGGGGTGAGCTTTGGTTCTGTCTGTTTTCGAGTAGAGTAAGTCAGTGGAGAAGATGACCGTTGTGGGCTGGGCTTGAAGGGTATAAATACCCCCGAGTCCAACGGTCAGTTAAGGGCAGCACTGCCGCTCTTGACAGGGCGGCACTACTGCTCTTAACAGGGCGGCACTGCCGCCCTAGCCAAAACATGTAATATGATATAAAATTTACCTAGCTGTTTTGACTAGGTGAAAGGATATAAATATGTGAATTTAAGCATCTGATTCAACAGTTGACCAACTGTCCTAAAATCCCTCTTAATAGTACGGCTTTTTCTAAACTCAAATTCAAAACATAAAAGAATTTAAACCTCCCTTGAGCTAGGTCTGGCCACCTTTTATAATTAGAACACCTGCAACCTGTTCATCATTCTCATTCTTTGATTCTCTGCTTGTCATCTCGATAAATCTCATTAGTCCTCTAATTTAGTGGTCATCAATACCAAAACCCACAATAGAGCTTGATTGCACTTACAATCTCCCTCTTTTTGGTAATTGATGACAACCCAATTAGAGCTTACAAATGATATGAAATCTAAACTGAGATTTTTGAACCATGGGTGTAGGAGCCTCCCCCTAAATATGTGAATAAAGATTTGAATTCTCAATTTAGCATAAAAGGCCATGATTCACATTTTAGGTGTGATGGGAGCCTCCCCCTACATCCATGCCTGCTGTGGAGTGCTGAGCAAAGTGTCATAGGAATAAACGTGATGCATATGATAGGTTTACAACACAAGGCGGCACTGCCGTCCTAACCATACTAGTCAGATAGCAATCAGATTCCTACAGAAGATCATATGTATATAAAACAATCTAAACTCAAAATATGATAAGCTAAAATAGTAACCATGAATACATATCCATATCCGAAGCAAATTAAGTCACACAGTAGCATAATTTCATAAAATAGAGTTTTGAGCGACTCTCAAACTCACAACCTAACTACTCTCAACGGATCCAAACATCAAGCACAGCAGCAAAGAACACATGGTGTCGAAAAACTTGTTGACCCCTCTAAT